GCAGATTTAACTGTTTTGAATGAATCTACCCATTTTAAGCAATTAACATTCAATAACTTTACTTAAAATAATCAAACCATTCGTGTGTGTGTGTGTGTGTGTGTGTGTGTGTGTGTGTGTGTGTGTAAGCAGATTTAACTGTTTTGAATGAATCTACCCATTTTAAGCAATTAACATTCAATAACTTTATTTAAAATAATCAAACCATTCGTGTGTGTGTGTGTGTGTGTGTGTGTGTGTGTGTGTGTGTGTTTTGAATGAATCTACCCATTTTAAGCAATTAACATTCAATAACTTTATTTAAAATAATCAAACCATTCGTGTGTGTGTGTGTGTGTGTGTGTGTGTGTGTGTGTGTGTGTGTATAGCATACATCTCCACTGTTTACTGTCTCAAAGCATTTTAACAAGCTATTGTGCTGGCAGAATTAATTAGATCTGAAAACTGGTATAATAAAAACAATAAAAAGCTATAAGAATGCACTAAAACAGAATACCAAAATAATAGAACCTACAGTTTCTAAAGTTGTGTTTGACTGTATAAATGTTCCTTAATATCTGTATGCATCAGAATACATTGTTCATTATATTATTAAAAGAATGCAATGAAATGAAAATTGAGGCAATAGAGAATTCCGTATGCACAATTATTTTAAATTTAAAATCTTCCCCATAATGAACATAGCTAAAAACATAAAAGACAAATGATAGAGAAATTAAAAGCAATTATCAAAGGAATTCTCAGCAGAAATTTCTGATTTAAATTAAAGCCTATGATTAAAAATCTTCTGCCTCTTTGCCTTTCTCCACTTTTCCCACAATTCACTACTGCCTCAGCACCTTGTAACTTAAATTTGTTCCTTAAAGGCAATCATGCTATGTCTGATCCATTGCAGGAATGAACATGTCAACTTTATGTCTTTCTCGTTCCTGTTTCTTTAAGTCCTTATGCTTAACTTTTAAAAGAACAAAGATGGTAATACTATTAAATAGGGCCATGAAAAGTGGAATTACTTTTTACCTACACAACTCTGTTGATTTTGTATATGAAAAAGGGGACCATTTCTGATATTATTTTGATTGAAGCTAAAAATATGGTCCAGTACATTCTGGTGACCCTGAGCTAGATTACAACTATTTAGGTGTCCCAACCACAAAAATGATTATGGTGCCTCATCCCCAGATGTGATGCATTTGTTTGTTCAACCAAAAACTGTTTTCGAACATCTGCTCAGGCACTCTTCTAGGTGCTATAGACACAACAATAAATAAAATGACTTGTTCTTATTATGTTTATATTCCAGTGACTAAAATTAGTACTATGCCCTAAAACAAGTATGAAAAATTTCCACAAAACTCTGTTTTTTGATGAATCTTATTTTGCTTCCTTGGGAAATATCAAATTCTTTTTAAAAAATGTGTTCTTTTGTTGCTTCCTTGTACGTGTACTTAAATTTCATATTGGCTATTACAAACTAATACTGTTTATTTGCTCAGTATATTTTTTGGTTATTTTATAGAAGTCACAGTAATCAGTTATATTTCTTTTATAGTAATTAAAAACCCTTCGTGTAATATCTTTCTTTCCCCTTTTTGAAGAAATCATAACTTTGTAAGCTCTAATATGAACAACTTGCATAAAACCCTAGGGAAACTTGAACTGGTTTTAAAAGTTAATACCATTAATTGTGTTAGAGGGCGCTGCCGATTAATTTTGTTTGGGATTCTACATTCTTAAATCTACATGATGCCATGCATACTTTTAAGGGACATATTCTAGATTATTTTTCAATGTAAAATCTGACACATACTCATTCATATAAAAGACTATACATTAGAGTTCACTCTTGCTGTTTTACACTCTATGAGTTTTGACAAATGTGTGACATGTATCCCCCATTGTAGTGCCATACAGAATAATTTCACTGCCCAAAAAATCCTCTGGGCTTCACGAATTCATCCTTTCTTCCCCCAACACCTGGAAACCCCTAATCTTTTTACTATCTCCACGGTTTTATCTTGTCATTTAGTTTTAATCACATAGTATGTAGCCATTTCAGACTGGCTTCTTTCACTTAGCAATATGCATTTAGGTGCACTATTCTCCATGTCTTCTCATGGCTGATAGCTCATTTCTTTTTAGTGCTGAATAATATTCAATTGTCTGGATGTACCACAGCTTATTTATATATTTACCTACTAAAGGACATCTTGGTTGCTTCCTAGTTTTGGCAATTATAAGTAAAACTGCTAAAAACATCTGTGTGCAGGTTTTTGTGTGCACATCACATATGTTTTCAACTCATTTGGATAGGCACAAAGGAGTGTGATTGCTTGATTATATGGTAAGAGTGTGTTTAGTTTTGTAAGAAACTGCCAAACTCTCTTCCAATGTGTCTGTGCAATTTTTCATTCCCGCCAGCAATGAATGAAAGTTCCTGTTGCTCCTCATCCTCATCAATATTTGGTATTGTCAGTATTTTGGATTTTAGCCATTCTAATAGTGTTTAAGTTGTATCTCGTTGTTTTTACTTGCACTTCCGTAATGACATATAAACTTTAGAATCAGTTTGTTGAAATCTGCAGAATTACTTGCTGGGATTTTGTTGAGATTGTTTTTAATGTGTAGATCAGGTTGGAAAGAACTGACATCTTGACAATATTGAGGCTTGGTACCCATGAATATAAAATATCTCTTCATTATTTAGTTCTTTGATTTCTTCCAAGAGTTTTGCAATTTTTCTCATATAGGTATTGTACATATTTTGTTAGATTTATACTTAAGTATTTCATTTTGGGGGATGCTAATATAAGTAGTATTGTGTTTTTAAATCTCAAATCCCACTTGTTTACTGCTGATATCACTTATTCGTTAGATTTATACTTAAGTATTTCATTTTGGGGGA